TGTAAACATAGTTGGACCTGCTCTTGCAGCCAATCTCCAACCACTGTCACATTGTCATGATGTTGCTTCTCTTTCTCTTTTCTACAAATAATATAATGGGCACTGCTCTAAAGAGCTAGCATCCCTTGTTCCATCTTCTAAAATTCATTCTCGTGTCACTTGCCATTCAATTAAGCCTCATCCTTTTTCTGTGGCTGTTCCTAAGTGCTCTGAAAATTCTTATTCCTCTAGTTTTTTTCTTTGAACATCACTTCTTTGGAATTCGCTTCCTTCATCTTACTTTCCTGATTCATATAATTTGCATTCTTTTAAGTCATCTGTCAATAATTTTCTTGCTCTACGAATTCTATTTTTTCTCTTCCAGTAACTTCCAAACTCTTATAGTGGTTGCTGGCAGCCTTGTTGGAAGCGAAGATGTAATATATATATATATATATATATATATATATATATATATATATATATATATATATATATATATATATATATATATATATATATATATATATATATATATATATATAAATTATAATAGCATATTATTTTTTAATTAACTAATATATAGTCCTACATTCATTTATTTACTTATCTTAAGAATAATGAAATATAAAAAAGGTTCAAAGTTGAGAATAGTTTTGATCTTTACTAGTGTGATTTTATCGCCAAGTTTCTTGAATGTGATCAATCATTTCTCGATACAAATGTTGCAAAAAGTCGTATATTTTTTATTATGGTTGAATGTTTAGTTTTATTTTTAAGGGTAAATTACTATCATAAATTACATAAAAAGTTTTGATCTGTAATTATATACATAATGCTCACTTTACAAATAAACATAATTTACACAAAATTTTTGAATTGATTAAAAAACTAATGTATTGCTTCTATGCCCAATATAACTTACACTAAATTGTCCCATTCAATTACCCTAGTGTTATCTTTTGAATTTAGAAATAGAAGTTATTAAATGTTGGTGGCTCATCATGCAGTGCATATGAGAAGGGCATGCTTTCAAAGTAAGTATAATTTTACTATAAATAGAGTATTTTTAATACCGCAATTAATTTGCATACTTGATATACATAAATATATACGCTGGTCACAACAATCCAGTCAAAAATTTCTTTAAAAAAATCAATTTAGAGTTGAGAAATTCGTATTTTTCGATGTTTGATGTTATGTTTGTAAAATAATTATTATATATATGTGTGCGTGTGTTTGTGTGTGCGTGCGTGTGTGTGTGTTATTTCTTTCTAACCCCTTTATTTTTGCATACTTATCTTAACAATATTTTTTTAGGGTTAAGACTGCTCCCCTGATTCCTACAGCAAAAAAAACAACTTTAAAATGCTGGTGATAATATTTTAAAGAGTGCACCTGATCGAAAAAAAGGTGAATGACGTCAAATGTTCGAACATTCGATTCTTGGAAATCAACAAGTGGAATAAGAAGTTTATAAAATTGTAATTTATAAAACTCATCACAATTATATTATTAAAAAATTTAAACGATTTATTCTTTTTTTCTTATTCTCAAGACGTTCTGTGAAAATATATATTTGAACCTTACGTAATGTAAAGCCATGTAAAAACACGTATTTTAGACGTCGAAATGAGAACGTCTAAATTAGATTATTTAAAGACGTCATTTGGCGTTTCCATTTAGCACTAGTTCTAAACGTCCTTAATTCACGTATTTTAGACGTCTAAAAACACGTCTTTATTCCGTCCTAAAAAGACGTTCTAATTACGTCTTAAAAAGACGTAATTAGAACAGTCATCTGGCGTTGCCATTTAGAACCAGTTCCGGACGTCCTAAAAAGACGTCCTTTCGACGTTATATGGACGTTTCCGTGCCCGCTGGGTTATGATTACTTCATTATTTTGATTTCGGATATGTTGAATTTCTACTCCTGATTCTTTTGGTTTGATATTGTCCATAATCAAATTCTTTGTGTTAATTTTATCATAATTGTTAATTTTTTTGACAACAATTTCACTAAATGTTCTTTCAGATATACTATTTACATTGCTTCCCAGTGGGCACAGGACGTTAAAAAGACGTCCCTAGGACGTTCAAATCGCGTCCGTCCGTCCCATAAAACTTTAAACGTCTTTTGAACGTCTTTTTCGCGTCCAATAATTTTTTCGTCCAAAAAATATCCAGAATGCTTCATTAAATTAAAAAAAATCTGTTAAATCACGCAAGCGCTAAAACTTCTTAAAATTTTTAAGTAACGCATTTTTAATAAAGTTTTTTTTCAATTACAAAAGAAGTCTTTTTACAACGACTAATAGACACGTTCCATCTAATTTTTGTTTTTGTTATCAATTACTTGAAAATTATGGCAATATTGATACAGGTAATGAAATTTTTACAGATAACGAAAGAAACGGTTTAAACCTGAATATATGCTATACTATGTATATATATATATACTTGATACACTATAAGTATAGTATTGCTATATCAAGAACCAAGTTCTAACAATTTCAAAGATTAAGACATCTCATGCAGAATCGAATTTTTCAATAGGAAAACCTGTTAATGATAAATGGAACAATTATCCTGATAATTCTTTGAATTCAATGTCTTTACTCGAAAACATTGAGCTATTCAATAATGGAACCAACACATTAGTTAATGATCTTCTTGAAATATTGCCAAATCAAGGTTTGGAACTTCCCAAAGATTCAAGGAGAATTTTAAAAACACCTTATGAAAAGCGACTTATAGACAGGTTCTTGCTAATTTATATATATATATATATATATTTTTAAACATTTAATTACTAGAGAATCGTATTAATATTGATACATATATTGAAAGTAATACAGATATTGACATAAATAATTAAAAACTGGGTATATACTTGACACTTGATACAGTATTTCAAGTATAATAATTGATATACTATATCAAGAACCGAGTTCTGACTGTTTGAAAGACTTAGACACCGCAGAATCTCATGCATAGTCATATTTTTCAAAAGGAAAACCTATTAATAATACAGAGAGTTTTTGCTAATAATTCAATATAATTCAATATCTTTAATAAACAACTTTTAGATTGTTCCATTTGAAATAATTGGAGCAGTACATTAGTTAATGAACTTTTTGAAATATTACAATATAAGTTTTGGAACTACGCTAATAACCAATTACTTAACTTTAGTAATTAGTTATTAGTGAAGTTCAAAAGTTTTGACTAAAAAATAAGTCTAATTGAAAAAATTAAACCAGTCGTAACAGTTATATAAGAGACAGGAGGGTAAAACATTTCCTTTACTCTAAAGGAAATTGTCTACCTACCTGTCTTTTATATAACTGTATTACTTGTTTAGTTTTTTTAATTAGACATTTTTTAGTGGCTTATCTTACTCTTTTATTATCTGATTATCTAAAAGTATCCTTTAGAAGATAGATGTAAATAACTTTTCTTTTTTATCATTCTTTAAAAGTTCAATATGAATAATTTTAATTAAAATCAATATATATATTATTTGATAAAATTTATATTTTAGTAACTTATCCAACTTAAATAAGAATAAGAAAAATATATTTAAAGATGGAATTGATTTAATATTTTTTTGAAATAATTTTTTATAATGATATTTTGAAAATTTATGGTTTTAGTTTTAGTATTCAGTAAAAAAAATATATAACACAGCAAAAACATTTAAATCAGAATTTCAGTGGAGCTATATAGACATTTTAGATCATTGCAGTTTTGGTCATTGTTTACTTAATGGTCTATTAGTGGCAGCAGCCAAAAGTGCCTAACATATGAATAACAACTATATCACGTGCTGGAATGTTATCGGCAATTTACTGAGTAACCGATGAGGAACACTCCTTAATTTCTCCTCTTTTTTTTTTTATTATCTAAGAAATTTTATTAAAGTGAATGGATTATACTTATTAATAAAGAAATTATATAGTTCTTTGATTGATTGCAAACCTATAATTCTATTGTGCATATATATATATATATATATATATATATATATATATATATATATATATATATATATATATATATATATATATATATATATATATATATATATATATATATGTATATATATATATATATATACATATATATATATATATATATATATATATATATATATATATATATATATATATATATATATATATTATATATCACCGAATCCCAATCCAGCCCAACGATTGCCAAGCAGTTATAGTTGGGTGTTCCTACGCCAGAGGTTATGCAGCACTATTCTTTATTTATTTTTTTTTAATATGAATGAATTGCCATTTTACAAGCACTACCGGCTCCCATTATTCTTTACGGCAAAAAAAAATAAAAAATAAAATTAAAAAAAAAAAAAAATACATTGGCATTGGTGCAGATAATTTAGATATAAAATAAAAAGATAATTTTTTTCTCTATAAGCTCCTATATATATATATATATATATATATATATATATATATATATATATATATATATATATATATATATATATATATATATATATATATATATATATATATATATATATCCATAGTCAATAGAAGTTATACCTGGTCGGGAAATAAAGTATTTCGACAAAACGGTCTTATTGTTTAAAAATATAGTAATTACGTGATCAAAGTAAATGCAAAAAAAATTTACCGATTGAAGAAAGTCTTCAGTTTTATTCACTTCTCTTAATTCTAAAAGCTTGCCATTTAATTAATTTTAATATTAATTTTGTTCAAGCTGTTTAAATAATTAAGTTAAAATTATTTTATAACTTTTTTGAGTTAAAAATGCCTGGAGCAAATTGTGCTTTTCCTGAATGTGGAATTACAAGAAACTCTAAACACCAAGCCTTGGTGTTTAGAGTTTATTGTAATTCCACATTCAGGAAAAGCACAATTTGTCAACTTGGTCCAAGGTATTGGAATATTTCAACTTCCAAATCGGCCAGATGATTTTCATCAACAATGGAGAAAAAATATACTAAACATTTTGTCAAAATGTAGACATTTTGACAAGCATCTCAAAGAACGCATTGCAAATGGAAATATCTTTCTTTGTGAACTTCATTTTGAGCCAACAGATATTGAGTTTACAAGTAAGTTATTTTCTGAGTTATTTTCTTTTTTTTAAATGTTAAAATATTATTATTTGAAATATTCTTATCTTATTTAAAATCTTTTAACTCCTCATTTAACTTATGCCTGTTAAAACTTATTTCAGATCTTTTTTAAATTTTTAAAAAACCAAAACAAAATCATTTTTTTTGTTGCAGTAGAATAAGTCTTGTTTTATTTATGTCTGATTATGTTATTGTTTTTATACTATAGAAACTGGTCGAAAAACGTTAAAGCTTGGGGCAATACCATTGCTCAACATTCCTAAGAAATCTCATGAAACTGTTAAAGCTCCTGAAAGAAGGCATATATCTATTGTTAAAGATATTTTAACTACAGAAGAAAAACATACAGACAAATACAAAAACTTTAGTGAACTTACTAACATAGTAAAGAAGCTTAAACTCAATTGGTTTATATCATATGATAAAAACTTTATTTCATTTAAATCTTTTCAAACTTTTAGAAGTTGTTGTTGGATGTAGTCTAGAAATTTTTGTTATTGTTTATGGATGGACATTGCCTGATGACCATCACTTGTATAAAGTATTTTTACGATCAGTTCGTCATGTTAAAATATCAAAATTGTTAAATAAAGTTCAATCTTTACAGATGTGTACTGGCATAACATATGACTTGGTAGATTGCGATAAATCTAATAAATCATTCTATTCCTCATAAATTTGACCTTAACAATGAGAAAAAAGTACCATTTAAAGCTTGTCAATATAAACGTCACAAAGATTGTTTTGTTATTGGCTCTGATTGTGAAAAATGTGTAAAATGATTAAATTTTGAAATTAATTTTATTAAATGTAAAGTTAGTACTTCAAAAAAAATTGATCAACCAGCTCATTTGAATGCCCCATTATCTGTCACACATCCAAATCGTGTAAAGTTAGCACTCGTTGAAGAGCGTTCTAAAAATAAAAAACTTTTGCAGAATATTGAAAGAATGCAAAAGGAAATACATGCTAAAGGCATTCAGATCAGCACTTGTTTAAGTTCTGATCTTGATATTATAATTAGTAAAAACCAAAAAAACATGACACCATTTATGAAACTTTTTTGGGAAGAACAGAATCGTTTATTAACTAGCAAAGTTCCTAGATATCATCCAATGATAATTCGATTTTGTGTTTCTCTTGCATCTAAATCAGTCTCAGCATATGATGAACTTAGAGATGCTAAAATTTTAACACTTCCAAGTAGGCGGACACTACGCAATTATAAGAATGCTATTCGACCATCTGTAGGATTTAACCCAGCAGTGATTGCTGAATTAAAAGAAAATACAAAAGACCTCTCTGATATTCAGCGAAATGTTGTACTTTCTTTTGATGAAATACGCATTCAAGACAATTTAGTATTTGACAAGTCATCAGGTGAGCTCGTTGGATACGTTGATCTTGGAGACCCTGAAATAAACTTTTCGACCTTTACTGATGTAAATGATTTAGCTCGTCACTGTCTAGTATATTATATACGTGGAATTGCATGCGATCTCAAATTTTGTCTTGCATATTTTGCTACTAATGGTGTAACAGCTATGCAAATAATGCCAACATTTTGGAAAGCTGTCTCTATATCAGAACTTTGTTGTAACTTGAAAGTAATTGTTGCAGTTTCAGATGGTGCCTCACCAAATCGATCATTTTATAAAATGCATAGTGGATTAGACCATCTAGATGACTCAGATGTTGTGTATCGCACTATTAATTTATATGCACCTGATCGTTTTATTTATTTTTTTGCAGATGTTCCACATCTAATGAAAACATTTAGAAACTGCATGTATCACTCTGGTGAGGGTAAATGTACCCGTAATCTTTGGAACCGTGATCAGAGTATTTTTTGGTCCCATATCGTTAAAATAGTACAAGATGAACTAAATAACAGTCTTAAGGTTTTACCAAAACTTAGTTATGAACATGTTCATTTAACTGCATATTCTGTAATGAATGTGCGATATGCCACTCAAGTTTTAAGTGCAAGTGTTGCAAATATTCTTTATAGGTACTATCATCCTGAAACACATATTACAGCTGAACTTTGTTCACTTATGGATAGATTCTTTGACTGTTTAAATGTAAGAAACCAAAGTGAAAGTTTATTTAAAAAGAAATCAGACTTAGAACCTTATCGTGATTTGAATGACTCTCGATTTGATTGGTTATTGAATAATTTTTTAAACTATTTTTCAAGTTGGAAAGAATCTATCAAAAATCGTAAAGGAAATTTTACACGCAATGCTCGTGATTGCATGTTTATTTCCTGGCAAACGCATGAAGGTTTACTTATAACGGTACACTCTTTTGTGTAATCAACACGTTTTTTGTTAAGTGAAGGAATGCCATTTATATTGTCAGAGCGCTTCAATCAAGATGTATTAGAAGAGTATTTTGGAAGACAGCGTAGTCTTGGAAGACAAAATGATAATCCAACTTTAATTCAGTTTGGCTATCAATCCAACACTTTGCGTATGCAACGTTCTATTGCACCAGTTACAGGGAATGCAAAAGGAAGTTTTAAGCAAAAACGTAGAGTTTCTTGGTAATTTGTTGATAATGCTCCTTTAAAAAAACGATCTACAAAGAAGTAATTTACCATCTTTTGTGTTTTTACTCGCTCATAGGATAGTGGTATGTACATTTATGTTCTGTTTGTACTTCTGGCACGGTGTTAGCTCAAATGTAAGTTGTTTTATGTATATTTGTGTTCTGTGTAGACCTCTGGCGCGGTGTTGATTCACTCGTAAGTCGATTTTTTTATGTTTGTGTTCTGTGTAGACCTCTGGCGCGGTGTTGATTCACTCGTAAGTCAATTTTTTTTATGTTTGTGTTCTGTGTAGACCTCTGGCACGGTGTTGGCTCACCTGTAAGTCGCTTTATATTTGCTATGTTATTGTTGTGTTATCATTGTTATGTTATTGTTGTGTCTGTTTTTGTTTTGTTTGAACCTCTGATGCAGTGTTGCTTTACTCATAAGTTGTTTTATGTTTGTTTGTGTTCTGTTTTAAGCTCTGGCACCGTGTTGGCTCATCCGTAAGTTGTTATATGTATATTCCCTGTGTTATTGTTGTGTGTAATCATTGTTATGTTATTGTTGTGGTGTTTCGTGTTGATAGACAACTTGGCTACCTTCACGTTGGTGTCTATTGTTAAAAATGATTATTAGGTAGTTTCATTACTGAAACTCTACTTCTAATCATTCACTAAAAGCCAAGAATCAAGTTTTATAAATAAAATATATATTTTGATGTTGTTGTCATTTTTTATTTTTAGTGCTGTTAATACTTCACAACAACATTCTCACAAGTTAGGTTTATTATTTATTATTCATGTAGTCAGGTGTTTTAATTTTTAACATAAATTAAAAAACATATTTATGTGCAATCTGTGTTTTCAATAATAGTTCATTCCATTTTTTAGGGAGAGTTTCTGTTGCTATAACTGATTTTGGAGAGTTCTTGTAGAACAGAAGTTTAGAAATCTAATATTTTTACGAATTTTTAAAAGCCAAGGCAGAAATATTGTTAATTTTCGTACCATTCACTAAAAGCTATATAAATATTGTGACAAGTTTGTTGTGTCGTTAATAAAATACTGTACTATACTTAAATATATATATATTCTTATAAGTAAGCCATCTTTAATATACATTTTAATATAGCCACGTATGTTTATATATATAAAAACATTGTTCCTATTTGTCCGCATATGACTAAGGTTCACGGCTTCACATCCCTGAAACGTATTGGCTTTTGCCCCTTTGTCGACCAAGTACTTCTTTGATTCTGGTTAGGTTCTTCTTTAGTAACACGTAGTTCGGACATATCAGATTTATCACTATTGCATGGATCGATTTTTTCATTATTGGTATGATCATGCCGCATACTGTCTTCATTATTCATAAGTATACTAGGCTCATTTAGGCATTTGTTTATTTGGTCACAGTGTGCTAACGTACCCGAAGAGTTATTCCTGATTATGATCGCAGTGTTTAGACCTGCCTGAGAGATGAATGAGACAGGTTCAGGTTTGGAATCTGGTTTTTGACGTTACCATAAAGGTGTTCCACTTTCGAAACTCATGGTGAGAGGGGATCTCAACTGCCTTCCCATCATCTCGGAAGGACTCCTTGATCTTCCTGCATGAGGTATTGTTCTGTAACTTAAAAGCATTCTGCTTAAATATCCACATAATAAACCTTTGTCCGGTGAATAAGCTCTTAAACCCATCTTAACTGTCTCTACCATTCTTTCAGCTGCTCCGTTAGATTGAGGATGGTAAGGTGGAGTCTTATAAGGTACGCAACCTATTTTCTTTAGCCACTGGTGTAAGGTGGTATCATGAAATTCCGCAGCATTGTCGGATACTAAAACCTCTGGAACTCCATTTCTTGAAAAAACACTTTATAGTACTACTAAAAGAATCTACTAAAATCAAAAACAGTCCGATACCCTGTACATGTGCATTATCCATATGTACTCTACACCAAGGTTTATTTTCACTTGGCCATGCATGTAATGTCCTTTCCTTCTTCACTTTTATTTCGGCACATTTTTCACAGTTTTTCACATATTCTTCAACATCTTGACAGTAGCCAGGCCACCAGGCTTCTAATTTTAATCTACATCGCGTTTGCATTATGTCACAATGTATATCATCATGGATCGATTTGATGAAGATCTTTCTCATTGTCTTAGGAGGTACAATAAGGTCACCATTACTTTCCTTTTTTGATAGTCAGTTTATTCCTAATAGATTTATAGGGTCTTTCTGTTACCGAGCATCTGCTCCAATTATTCTTCCTAATTCTGGTTTTGATATCCATCAATACCCTATCATTTTCTGTTTCTTTTATTATTTGCTCAAGGTTCACTATATCTGACTCGACTAAGTGTATAAATGTTTCTTGGTCTTTCTCTTCATCTTGTGGTAGAAAGGACAATCTCGATAATGCGTCAGCATGAGGAATGTTTTCTCCCTTCTTGTAGCTTATTTCGTAGTCAAATGCCATCATTTGTATGGCCCATCTTAAAATTCTAGCGGATGTGACTTTGGGCAATTCTTTATTACTATCAAATATAAATTCTAATGGCCTGTGATCTGATATTAATTTGAATTTTCTACCCAACAGAAAATGCCTAGCTCTGTGAGCAGACCATACAATGGCTAAAGCTTCTCTCTCAATATTAGAATATCTTGTCTCAGCGTCTGATAAAGTTCGTGAGAGATATAATACCGGATGGCCATTCTGTGAAAGTATTCCAGATATAGCTTTCTCGCTAGCATCTGTTGTTAACTCTAGATCTTGGTTGATGTCATAAACCTTTACTACGGGTTCTTCACAAAGGTTTCTTTTTAGCAATTCAAATGCCTGTTGATGCTCCTTCCTCCATTCGAATGTAACTCCTTTCTTTCTTAAATTGTTTAAAGGTAAAATTTTTTCAGCATATTTATCAATGTGTCGACCATAAAAGTTTATTAATCCTATAAATGAATCGAGTTCCTTTTTATTATTAGGAGGACTTATTCCAAGTATTTTGCTGACTAAATTACGATATGGGGTAACTCCTTTTTCTGACAGTTCATATCCTAAAAATGAAAGACTTTTTGTTTCATTCACTGACTTTCGTTTATTTATGCTCATTCCCGATTCCTTCAACTTGCTCAATATTTTATTTAAATTCGATTTGAGTTCTTCAGCATTTTTAGAACCGACACATATATCGTCTTGAAATATAATCATATTGGGAATAATATTGCCAACAACAGATTCTATCGCTCTTTGAAATATCGCACTTGCAGTCTTAATTCCGAAAGGTAAACAGGTCCATCTTAATAATCCAATAGGGGTATTAACTGTTGTTATTTCTTGTGCCTCTTTGTCCATCTCAATTTGATGATAAGCTCCCTTGAGATCAATTTTAGCAAAATATTTCATCCCTGCCATTTTATGAAATACGGTCTCAATGTTTGGGATGGGATATGAGTCTGAGCATATTTTTTGGTTAACACCTATTTTGTAATCCGCACAAATGCGTAAATCTCCGTCTGTTTTTCTAACAACCACAAGCGGTGAAGCCCATCTGCTTCCACCAGTAGGAACCCTTTGAAGCAACCCTTGCTGTATCCTTCCATTAAGTTTATCTACCACTAGTGGTCTTATGTGAATAGGAAGTGGTCGAGATTCAAAATAAGTTGGTTGTACGCCGTTTTTTAACAGAATATTTGCTTTGTAATTAAATAAACGCCCATGAACAAGAGGTTCTATACTATTTACTAATTTTGTGGCGTTGATATTTAATACATCCATACCAATTAGACCATGACTTTTTGTACAGTCTGCAACAATAATTCGTACGATATTCATTTTTGATTCGGTTTCCAAAGTTGCCTCAAATTCGCCTAAGACTTTTATAACTGTGCCATCAAACTGTTTCAGGCGAAGGTAGCATTTTTGTAATTTCCATTTAGACATTAGTTCCCAAAAATTTTTTGGAATAATTGTGACTTGACTTCCGGTGTCAACTTGCATTTTTATATTGTAATCATTCATTTTTACACTAATCTCTGAGTTTGTATCATTCATGTTAATGGAATACACACTAGCATCATCATTCTCTATTTCCTCTACTATTTTTTCATATTTAGTGTTTGCTTTGCATACGTTTTTAAAGTGGTTCAGCTTTCCACATTTTTTACAACTCTTCCCAAATGCTGGGCATTTTCTAGGTGGGTGTTGAAGGCCACAATACTTGCATTTAATCATTCTTTCTTTATTTTTATCAATGTAACTAACTGAAGGAAGGTCTATGCTGTTTTTGATGTTGTTTTGTATACTAAAACAGGATATTTGCTCCAGTTGCCTGATAAAATCAATACATGCTCCTAGTTTAGGCGATTCTCCACTCTGTATCATTTCTAGAGCTTTAACTCTCTGATCAGAAGATTGGAGACCATCAATCAATCTCATTTGAATCAAATCATCTTCCGCACTTTGGCCATCTCTTCCCAATTTGTCGAAGTTGCAAAAGCGTGAAGCTTCGCGTAATCTTTGTGCATATGATACGATGTTTTCATTGTTTTGCTGTTTTGATGCTAAAAATCGAACTCTTTCAGCAATAAGTCGTTTTTGAGGTCTCAAATGGGACATAACAACAGTTTTAATATCATCGAACATCATATTTTCTAATTCTTCTGGATATACCATAAGAGAAATCTTTTTAACTGCTTTAATCCCTGCTTTTGCCATAAATAAATCTGTTATCTCGTAGCTACCGTTTATCTCATCTTTTAATTTCTTTGAACGTGCGGAAGCTGAAAAGCATCTAATCCATGCTTCTGCATTATCTGGGTCATCGTCCCTTACTCGCAGCGCCATTGTTGTGTCGTTAATAAAATACTGTACTATACTTAAATATATATATTCTTATAAGTAAGCCATCTTTAATATACATTTTAATATAGCCACGTATGTTTATATATATAAAAACATTGTTCCTATTTGTCCGCATATGACTAAGGTTCACGGCTTCACAAAGTTATCGAAATTGTCATAGTATTTTTTATAATTTTATTATTATACTGTATACTATTGTACTGTTATACTATTTTATATTTATAATATATATTATTAAATCAAAAATGAAGTGGTGATTTTTTTATAGTGAGTTAACAAGTTCGTCAAATAAAACACAATTTTTCTTAAAGAAAATAATCCATAAAAACTTTTTATTGAAGTCGCTCCGAGGTTGGTTGGGGCTTAGGGCAAATTTTATTTCTGTTACCATTTTCTTAGGAACAGCAATTTTTCTTTTAAAAATAGTCTTTGGAACAGCCACTTGCTTAAAATTTTAAAAAATGGCCCTTAAATAGTATTTGGGGTCCCTAAACCCTTCGGGTCCTGTGACAATATCGTCTAACTGCCCCTCCCCCCCCCCCCACTATTTCTCTCTGCATAGTGGCTTTGAATTTTATTAATTTTATTATATATATATATATATATATATATTATATATATATATATATATTATATATATATATATATATATATATATATATATATATATATATATATATATATATATATATATATATGTATATATATATATATATATATATATATATATATATATATATATATATATATATATATATATATATATGTATATATATATATATATATATATATATATGTATATATATATATATATATATATATATATATATATATATATATATATATATATATATATATATATATATATATATGTATATATATATATATATATATATATATATATATATATATATATATGTATATATATATATGTATATATATATATATATATATATATATATATATATATGTATATATATATATATATATATATATATATATATATATATATATATATATATATATATATATATATATATATATATATATATATATATATTGTATATAAATAACTTTATATATCTATATATTGTACAACATTCAAAAATTATGTATTAATTGGATTTTATGATATTACTTTTATCCATTGAGTAATTATAATACAACTCTATATCTTCTTCCGCGCCTCACCCTCACAATGAATGTATGTTGTAAGCTAATAAAACATCGTTTTCATTTTTTATACTAGTTTTTCTCATTTTATTAAGGATAAAAATAGTTTTGAAAATGAACTAATTTTTTCTAATAGGTTGTGTTGCAACATCGCTACTTTATTCCATAAGTAAACCTCCATTCCAAACCTCTAACTATTGATCGTGAGTCGGAATAAAGTAATATTTAACAGCTTTGTGTTAATAAATAACAAACTTTGTGCTCATAGAATTTTTGTATGATCACTAATATTATTTTCAAAAATATTAGTGACCTGTTAAATAATGATGAGTCTTTAGGCACCTGTTAAAAAATTTTTTGTTCAAGATTTTCTTAAAATTTTGTTTTACTATGTGAACAACCGTGAAATTTGTTTATATTTTTTCCATCTAATTTAACTTGTAGCTAGTGATTTTCTTTTTATTTTTTATTTTTTAAAATTTGTCTAAATTTTTGTACTGATTATGTTTGCGTAAGAAAATTATTTTCATAAAATTTCTGTAAATAAAAATTTCTAGATGCTTTTTTCATTAGGAAAACTTGTTTTTATCGGACAAATGCGTAGAAACAACATTACGAAAAAATCATACTTTATTGATTTATTAATATATAATATTACATATAAATCAGTACAGTGAAAAAATTTCAAAATTACTAATTTGAATTATAAAATTGTAACAATATTTATATAGCTTTTAGTAAATGGTATGAAAATTAACGACATTCCGTCTTGGCTTTTAGAAAATGCTTAGAGTATAAGATTACTCAACTTCTAGAACTCTCCAAAATCAGTTATAACAACCGAAACTCTCCCTAAACAATGGAATAAACTATTATTGAAAACACAGATTGCACATAAATATGTTTTTTAATTTATGTTAAAAATTAAAAAACCTGACTAAATAAATAGTAAATAATAAATCTAACTTGTGAGAATGCTGTTGTTAAGTATTAACAGCACTAAAAATAAAAAATGACAAAAACATCAAAATACACATTTTATTTATAAAACTTGATTCTTGGCTTTTAGTGAATGATTAGAAGTAGAGTTTCAGTAATGAAACTACCTAATAATCATTTTTAACAATAGACACCAACGTGAAGGTAGCCAAGTTGTCTATCAACACGAAACACCACAACAATAACATAACAATGATTACACACAACAATAACACAGGAAATATACATATAACAACTTACGGATGAGCCAACACGATGCCAGAGCTTAAAACAGAACACAAACAAACATAAAACAACTTATGAGTAAAGCAACACTGCATCAGAGGTTCAAACAAAACAAAAACAGACACAACAATAACATAACAATGATAACACAACAATAACATAGCAAATATAAAGCGACTTACAGGTGAGCCAACACCGTGCCAGAGGTCTACACAGAACACAAACATAAAAAAATCGACTTACGAGTGAATCAACACCGCGCCAGAGGTCTACACAGAACACAAACATAAAAAAATCGACTTACGAGTGAATCAACACCGCGCCAGAGGTCTACACAGAACACAAATATACATAAAGCAACTTACAGGTAAGCTGACACTGTGCCAGATGTGTTGGCTTACCTGTATCCTATATCCACCCCTGCTCACTATTTCTTTATTGTAGACTTATCAGACCCTTTTTTAATGTTTGATCGAAGCCCACCTTTTGATTTAGTTTTTTTCGACATAGCTTTTTGTCTTTGAACAACATCTTTAGCCATCGAAAATGATCTTACTCTTAAGTATAATTTCACCATACTCTCTAAAAGATTTGTTTTAACTTCTTTATCAATTTCAAGTTGCCAGGAGTTCTCAACAATAACATTATAAAAACTTTGCACAGTTGTATTTGTGATTAGCTCAGATGCCATATTTGCAATGTCAACTTTTCTCAACATTGAATTTAGAGTTTCAGACCGAAATTTTATTTCTGTTAGAATAAATATTTGCAGACACTCTTCTGTCAGTGAGATCAGTCCACCTCTGTTTTGAACATCAATAAGTCTTTGTCCATGTGACAAATTTTTTTCAAGAACACAGTGGTTTAAAATAGAAATAATTGCTTGGGTTTCTTCAGATTGATAGTGTTTACTGTTTTTAGCTTTCTTTAAAAATTTTGACAAAACGTAGCCAAGTATAGTAGACCATCTAATTCCTTTGCAGATATAGGTTTCAGTTCAATTGATTTATTCTCTGAAAAAGATGTTTTGTAATAATACAAAATTTTATCAGTTAACGCTGTTGATATAAGCGTACTGCAAAGTTTTTCAAGATCATTAAAATATTTATCAGACTCTAATACAAGTGAAGAATATGTTTCCATGTAAAAATTATCACTATTTCCTGTCTTCACTAACTTTTTGTAAATTTTGTTGCACTGTTGGTATAATAGATTGTTTATTACATTGATATATTGAGATATTTGATTTAATATTATATCTGGGTAGTATTTTTCACTTAGCAAAGTATTTATAGCTTCATTAACTAATGTTTTTATTGTCTCAAGTGATAAGAAATTTTCTGCTTTGATAGTATCAGGTTTTCCATCAGAATGTTTTGTTCGGATATGTCTTGTTAACCCACCCTTTGTAGCACTTTTTGCACTTTTGACATGAGAATGCAGCAGATGTAGTCACCTAAGAATAACCATTACATGTAAATTTTTAAAAATAAAAATAAATCATAACTACAAAAAAATTAGCGAGCTAAAAATATAAATAAATATACTGATTTATTTACACACATGCACAAGCTGCTGACTGGATCAGTCCAGTCTGAATAAACCTTAATTACACTAAAATATGTTCAATGTAAAAATATAAAATATTAATTTTTACTTGCCTCGTCTAATGCTTCATTTAGATCTACTTCTATTTCATTATCCAAAAGATCCTGATCTATGTCCAAAAACATAAAATCTAAATCTTCACTACAAAAATATATATACGAGCGGCTATTTCCAGGGATCAAAACAGGATCTGATCTCAATCAGATCCCTGTTTTGATTTGACGAAAAATGTAACTTGCATTAGGTCCGATAAAATGTTTATCGTTAGCCGGATTTTAGGAGTTGTATATGAAATATTAGTAAAGCGCATATGATATATTGGAGATATATATTTTAGATTGAGGACTGTTTGAAACTAGTTTTTTGTCCAACCAAAACAGGGATCTTATCTCAGATCTCATATAACCGATGATATATTAGGAATAACTATTAGATAAATAATAAAATTTGTTGAAGGATAAAAATTTTTTCCTAATATATCATTGCATATAACTAATTAATTATAATTATTCTTAATCTTATATAATGTATGATTGGACTAAATAACTTGATTTAATTTGTTTTTAAGATTAATACAAATATAAATCTATAGTTTTTATTATTAATTTAATAAAATTAATGGACCAATGATACAACATCAGTTTTTGCTATGTCTGCTAACATTTGTCCAACAACATCTGTATTTATGATGTATAACTATATCTGTCCAACAACATCTATTAATACACTGAGGTATAATAACATCTGTCCAACAACAACTGGAATTTCGTTAAGGTCAAATAACATCTGTATAAAAAGTATGATTACTTCAGATGTAGTTACATCTTTTCAATAATGTTGAGAAAACAACATCTGTAAATTCTATAGATTCAGTTACATCTTTTCAGTTCTGTCATTGAAAAGATGTAACTAAAGAAATATAGATGATCTTGGATAAAAGTGTACAGATGATCTTGGACTAATCTACAGGTGTAGTT